TTTTAATAAATGTTTTCTGGTTGGTTCAGTTTCAATGGTCCAGTGATGTATATGGGGCAACAAGAAGATAAATTAGGTATTCTATTTGTCTGCTACAGTCCAATATGATAAATTTTGGAACTCGACTCTGAATATTTTCTATAAGACCTCGTTGAACTTTTGGAGAAAATTCAAAATCTCCATCAACAGTATATAATTTCTTTTAATCAAATCATAATAACAACTCTATTTGAGTGTATTCTTATCGATTTAAACAGACTTACTTGTAATTTTGAGCATAACTATTGTTTTGATTTGTTTTCAACAAGATAGTTAAACAAGACCCAGGTCTTTGACATCATCTTTTGATTTGACCTTATCTTGTAAATAAGCAGTATCAAAATAAAGTATATGTTTATAAGAATTAAAATTAGACTTGAGATTTCATAATAGTGTCTTAAGATCAAAAGAAAAGTTTGCAACAAATCTCAAAAAGTCAAAGCTATTATTGCAGTATCTACAGGTAACTTTGAAATTAACAACCTGGGGATTGACTTAATCTGCCTTGTATCTCCACTAGAATGATACCAATTCAACACCATGGTTCTTCTTGCCAAGATGTTTTTGCCTTTCCCAACACAGAAATGTCCAAATCTGTTCAAGATATCCTAACTTGTTTGTGAGTTTCCAAATTAGATACCACTTGGTGCAAATGGATTTTAAAATAGGTATTTGAAAGCAGCAACAAAGTTAGAAAAAACTTAACCTATATGTGTAGAACCCCGTCGACTTCAAAGTCAACTTCAAAATCCTAAACTGAAATTTTCAAATACAATACTACCACAAATCCCAATATAATTTTGCCTAGTAAATGAATGCAGCATTTCAATTGCAATATCTTGAAATTAAACTGTATATATTACACAAACTGTATATGATATATAAAACAGGTCCCTCCAAAATAGCTTTATATTCCTGATTCAGTCTACTTAAATGTAGAGAATGTTGGGGGCAGAGAGGTAATATCTGCTGGCTCTCTGAGATTATTTGACATTACACTGGTTCTACAGGTAGAGGAATGTAAGAGAGATTCGATAAGAAATGTCAATATGCTATTCACTACTTCAAGAGAATTTTCGCTGATTCAGTTTTTATGAATGTCTGTAGTTCACCTGTGTATTGTTGAATCATTGTACACATGGTCTGCTTCACTCATATCTTGCATAACGTTCAGTTTGTGACAAATAAATCATCAGAAAGCAAAAGAAGAAACATTAAGAATGGTTTATAGCCGTATGAACACAGTTTATTATATACGTCTAAGGTAATGATGTAGATATATACCTCTGATGGGATTTTAACTCTCAGTTGTTATGTACAAAGATGGGATTTTGATGTTTATGTGCTGGAGATTGTGGTTAAAGTCGTAGTATTGCGTGGGAGGGATCACTGTGCATTCAGCTGAATATTCCAGTAAAAAACGTATGATTCAAGGTGCCTAGAATTTTACCATTCTAGAATTCTGTTTTTGGTTAACACTTGTGTGGGAGTGTTTTTTGGTCCCAAATTAGCTTGAATTCATTATCTTATGTATGTAAATAATAATTATTGATTGTGCATTTAGAACTTGCACTGATTTTTTTGTAATGTTCTATTTTTCTATTTTCATGTGCTGCTTACCATCTGGTATTGTGCTGCCACCTTTTGATGACTTATTACACCAAATCTGCCACAATAATTAGGTAAGAACATCTGAATAAGAATATACACATATGTTAATCTCTTACATGGTATCCATGAAAAAACGTTGAAACTTTATTTGAACATGAAATAATGAGGGGGGGGCTATATGGTATGAAAAGTGCTGTTGTGTATTTGATGGCATTCATTAATGATTGGTTGAATTGAATGTGTTTTATTATAAAATGGAATTCAATGATATACTTTAATGCAGGTAGATCTGATAAAACTGTTTAATTAATGCTGGATGTAACAAGGCCCCAAGATAACATGGCTACTACTGTAGATAAGCATTGCATAAAAATGAATAGATTATTACCTCAAACTTATATGCATTTTTGGTGACTGTTCATCAGACTGCCATTTATCTAGTAACTTTTTCTCATTTTAAGCTTGGCAAACCATGAAACAAAGTGTATGAGACATATTTCTATTATGTCACCTATAATGTAATTATACTTTTATCTGTTAGGCTAACATTATTAATCAAATGATCTTATGATTATTACTTCCTGCTTGCCAGACTTTATAAGAAGATAGTCCCTTAAGGAAAATATGAGAATTTATAGTTTGTCTCACAGTCAATGAAATAAACCAAGGCATTTTTTTATCGCAACATTTTTTTTAAAACATGAACTCACTGCATTGTAATGAGTAAATTGGGAGTGATCATTTTCATTTTTTGTCACCACCAGAATTGGTGACATATTGTTGTAGTTTCCAACCTTTTTGTGGCGGCAGTTGGTGTTTGGTATCTGTAACAAATGGCAGGCTGTGACATTTTGCATGTTAATCCCTTGTTTGCGTTTCTATCTTCTAAGCATAGAAGAAAAGAAACTTGTCATTTTTCATAAAAAACTGATCATTAGTTTTTAAGCATTGGCATTTAAGCACTGCCATTTAAGCACTGCCATTTATGATGTAACTCCTGTTTGTTTGTTCCTGATTAGTGACTAACATCGTATTGTTTGCTAGATCAGATTCATTGTTTGTTGTTTCACAGCATCATCATCAGGTTGAGGCAACAGCCCACACATGTAGTACATAGTACACATGTATTACATGTGCTTGTTGGGTTTGATTCTACAATACTCTTATGTGATGGCTGTGTAGTCATTCTTGATAAAGAACCATTTCTTATTGGTAGCAGTGTATTGTGATTTTGATAGGCTTTGATTGTCTTTAAGTGTAATTCCCCCTCACAAAATAAGTTTTGTTTACTTGGAAGGTGGTTGAAGGTCATTTGGCTAAAAAGTGAAGTCAAGTTTTAGAGATGTCTTTTTCATTAAAAAATCGTTGTTCTTATATAGTCTGATATACAGCTCCAAGAATTGTCTAAATTTTTTAAAAGTCAATCACTTAAGTGTCATACTTTCTTGGAATTGTGTGTAAGACTGTACAAACACTTAAACATATGATTGAAAAATGTGGCATACTTTAGAGAGGAAGTTCATAGGTAGAAAGCTAATCATTGGCTTAATGTTATTCAATTATATGAGATAGATTGAATCTAAAACGTAGGTAGTAGACTTTGCAAATCCATCTCTGTATTTTTTGATTTGAGATTAAAGTGCACGGAAGACGGATTCAGGTTCTACTTGATAGATGTGTTGGTGATTTTTCCTAATGTCATTCCAAGTTGATTTTTGCCTTTTTTCAAGTTATTTTTATCTAACCTGTGTCTCAATATCTTTAATTTCAGTGTGTTTTCTGGATTGAAATGCAATTCGATACGTTTGTGTTCCAGAAAAAAGATTATTGAGATACGAGGACAAAGTCACCATAGTAAAAGTACCTTGCAGATATTTTTACAGTCCACTTTTACAATCAGTTAAGCCTGTCATATAAACTTCCTTATCTTTGTATATACCCCACTCCTGAATGACATCTTTCCCAAAAGACTCCATTCATATCAACAGATTCCACGATTTTCACAACATAAACTAGTTTTATTTGATTATTTTGGAATTCCTCGATGTTTTGAAGTCTGAGCTAAAAGGGAGTTTGCGTGATTCTTTTCCAATTTCTCTTCTTTTCTTGAGATATTGTGATAAATCACATAATATTGTTGGTTGGGATGGTGATCTAAAGAGCATAAAAAACATATAAAGCATGATTTCCTTGAAATCTAAAACTTCTTTAACAGTACTATTGAGTTTTATTGGTTGTAAATATAAACAGTTCTGTTTAATTATAAGATAATTGTGTTTAAATGTTTATATTAGCAATTGTTCAAAAGAAGATAATGCTTAAGATTTACTGTTGCTTCTTTATTTCCTTATGGTTGAATTAACAATGCCTCCATTTTAAAAGTAGTAAGATTTTGGTGGAGTAAATTAAAAGTATATTCAGATGACAAAAGCATGCTGTATTATGGGTATGCTCACTTTCATAGGGTGTTGGAAGGGGGAATTAGACATTGTTTTTATGCTAGATCATGGCTTGGGATAGTTGGGCTTTGTTTCCTTATGACTGATGTACTTGTGTGCTGGTATATATGTTTTCTTTTTCTTGCTTTGTTCTTTAATAATTGTCTGTCCTGTCCTCTTGGCACTTGTCTATGCATATGTCAAATTACATGAATTATTAAGGAAATCTTGAAGAATCAAAAGGAAATATATATTTGTGCCATTGAGACCTTAACCTGAGAAGATTGGATCGGGGGGGGGGGGGGTGTTACTTGGAGACTCATACAGAAGACATTGGGATATACATAGGTTTGATTTGATTTGAAAACTATATTTATTCTGGGTATGAAAACTTAATAGTTACATCACATGTCATCTCCAACAACAACAACATAACTGTTAAATGTCTCAGTTTTAAAGTGTTCATCATTTTGGTCTTATCTCTGGAGCAATTTATCTTCAACACCATCAGGTTAGAATCTTCAATGATCAGAGAAGTTGAGCCGTTTGATTCCCATCTTTCCTTCCCTCTCATCAGATAGTCCACAAATGAAGATACCTCCCAAATATCAGCAACTAATCAAGCCATATTTATTAAGACCACTGCACTTGTAAATGTAGCCAATATCCTGGAGGTAAAAAATATTTAGAACATTTTCCAATTTGTGAATTCCAATCTCCTGGACAAGAGCAGAGCAGACGTCATTAAAATCCTGTCATTTGATTGGTTGAAAGGTTTGTGTTTCTTTCACAGCTGATTTCAGTCCCCTTCATAATCCTAAAGTGTTATTCCCTGTTGGAAGCACTCTACAGACACATAATCCTGTATAGTAGGCTAACTGATTAATGTATCCCAGAAGGTGAGAGCATCTTCAGTAGTCAGCTTGCAAGAGCTTGGTAGGCTCCTAACATTCCAAAGGAACTTTTACAAGTCTGTTTTTTCCGGGGATTACGGCTGTCGAATCCATCTTAGCCGGCAAGGCCTCATAGGAGCTAGAGGCACCGGCGGGTAACCTTCATGTACATTGGTGCAGTGCTGACACTCGGTGGTGCAGCAAACTATAGTGAGCCCTGAAGTACATCGCCAAGAAGTGCAATATAACTGGAAGATGTTTATAGTAGGAGCACACATGTCAGCTCATAAATGATGCTGCACTGTACATATATGAGTGCCTTCAAGTGAAGAGAAGATGGAACAGTTGCATATGATATCACAATTGTGACATTATGATATTGGTAGTGAGTTTGTGAACACTGAACACTTTGATGTGATTTTGGGAACACCTCAATACATAGGGAACATAGGGCAGGCATTCCGTAGGTAGTTAACAGTATGGTATTGGGAGCAGATTGTGACACTTTAAGAGAAATGTGTGACATCAGTAGAGAAATGTGTGACATCATTGTTGAAATGTGTGACATTAGACTATAGTTTATAAGTGACATATGTGACACTTTGATGAATTGAAGCTTTATTTATTCTATTTATTTTATTTATTTATTTAACTTTAATATAATAATTTAATTGTTGTGAATTTGGAGTGTATGCATAGCTATATTATATACCAAGAAGAAACTTTGAATAAGAAACTGTACATAAAACTGGCATTGACCACATACTAAAAATAGAAACATATTAACAGTGACAAAGTTGAACATAGATATACATTATATCAAAATCATATTGATTTGGTGTCAGCATCAGATTAAAACAACAGAAACATTGAAAGAGTAACGAAAACATTGGAGAAAACCAAAATATTGATACAAGACAGAAGTGTGCATCGACATTGACACAGAAATAAATTGATAGTTGATACAGACACCACAACAGTGGCATCATTCTTGCTAAGACAGCGTAGTAGACAACTTAGTCATCATGGCCTTGGTCGTGCAACCATCCACTGTAGGAGGGGTCTCATCTGGTATGTTTTATAGCATTATGTTCTTCTCTTCTTGATGTATCTTCTCATCCCCATCTTCCTTAATATCATTTTTGTGTTTTGTCATTTTCATGCATTTGATTACTTTTTCACATTTTGTCATCTTTCACATTTTGTCAGTCTTTCACATTTCATTGATCTTTAATATTTTAATATTGTATCAAATCTTGCTTTTTCATTTCTTATAACTTTATTGATTTGTTGTTTGTATGCATTAGTATTTTTATTTTACACTATTTATAGGTATTAATGTTGTTTATGGTAAAGGTACAAGTCTTTAGAACCCAATAGCAGTGGGAGACATATGGGAGCAGTGGGAGATGTAATTTCAGTTAAGATGAATACAATATTGTGAGGAATAAATATACTGGGACACTGATGCATTGAGATGGACAAATGTCCAGCCATCATTAGGCCCTCGTGACATCATTATTACTGTTAATCAGAAATATAATATGAAAACCCATATTATGAAAGCATAAGAAGAATACAAACTTATAAACAATGCTCAATATATAAATCTCAACAATTAAAATTTCAGTTTTACTCATTTACCTTTCCCAAATGAAGGCATAGGTGCAAAACATTTAGAATGACATAATCAATCTGTTATACTCTTAAGTATCTCTCAGATTAATTTAATGTCATGTAGTTCCATTAATTTCCCTATTTACAAAGAGGATTATCAGGTGATACATTCCAGTGGTAGTTATCTTTTTGGTTAATACATTGGGCTCACAAACATGGCGTATCTTTGATCATGACACTACTCACTGCTATCCTAACCAGGTCATATTGATCTTGACTTTCAATGATGTCTGACACTTCAGTTATAATCCTATCTATCTCTAAAACATCCTGTTCATTGAATATATCAGTTCCTGTGGTTTTTAAGCAATGTGTCAGGATTCTAAGTTAGGAGCTGAATGTTTTGGAACACGTTTTTTGAAATATTGAATTTTGAAACAAGGAAGACAAAAGTAGACGAAGTAAATCAATTTTGTCCACTGGTCATAAAGATATGTTCATAAGAATTATGCTTATCATACAGTATATACAAAATATGTGATGTTTTTTGATATAATAAAGGTATTTGTGAAGTGAAAAATCAAATTTGAAAGTTCAAAATTACATTACAATAAATTATATTTGATTTTATAATTATGTGACATTATTATCATTTTCATATAAAGTAATTTACTAGAAAGCATCCATAACCTATGTTTTTTAACACACATTAAATCCCAAAGGAGATAAATATATTTTGTTTGTTCCTTTGTTTGATCATGGTATAAGAACATTTTCTCGCAACTTCAGCAATTGCAGCTCCCAATCTAATAGATAATCCACTTGTTTTCATTTGAAATTACAGTGCCAACATTACATGCTAATAGATAGAATAGATAACTTTGAGAGGTTATCTACACCTTCATTTAAATCTTACCAGAAAATTACAGAAATATTGTGAAACTTGTTTCAAGTGAACAGTACTTAGACTGGCCAAATGTGCTCACATTAAGGGGTTTACTAATGCACCCAAAATAGTATAGATGCTCTTTGAGCATACCCAAAATGATACTGTTACAATATTGATTTTCTAGAATATGATAAACTATCAATAAAAAATTAAAGATAGGTTGGCAAAAGTGGGAACATTTCAAAGTGCTAACTTTAGAGATATGTTTCCATATTCAGGTTTTATAGTATTAGTATAAGAGATTTAGAAGAATGACACAGTTCCTCTAGAGTCTAAAATGGAAATTGAAAATAATAACTGTCATTTTTGACTTCCACACTCATTTATAAACTGCTAATAATATAGCTTCTCTACTCATACTATTTCTATCTTTTGGTTTGCACAAACATTTGATTTAAGTCAGTTATCTATTCTACTTTTTGAAGTGCAAATGTTTTTAATAGACAAGAGCTGATGATATGTTCTTTACAGATCATAATTCTTTTTAAAGGCCAGTGTTTAAACTACCTAATTTACACAGGGCCTTTAATCTTGTGGTATACTTTCAAAATATAAGGCAGTATTTTCTTAGAAAATCAAAACTTACACTATCTCAAATTCAGATATTGAATTTGTTTCATATCTTATAAGTTACTTTCACTTGCAAAATTAATTAAAGTTCAAGTTGCCTTGTGCAAATATGTAATAGAATGATATGTTACATCACATCATGTATAAATGTGAATTTTTTAGTTACCAATATCCTTGTTTCATTCACATACTTGAGTTTAGAGTATAATAGAGAAGATTTACAGGGATTATGGAATGAAAACAAGCCTCTCTGCTTGATGCACCCTTGCAAGACGTCCCTTCTTACCACATATTCACACCTTTTTCCCACTGATTATTTCACTTATAAACCATCTGGCATGTTATTCCATTATAAGTGGCATGTATGTGAACTAAAATTTGACCAGAAATGCATCTGTTAAAGTGATTCTTTGCACGTTTTTGGTTTTTTTTAAGAGTACTTTAAGTACATCAACAGTTTAATATTTTATAAAGGTATCTTAGCAATCTCTCTGGTTACATTTTCACTTTTGGCTGTCCATAATGAGAACAGGGATTCAGTACATACTAAGTATACCCATGTAAAAATCATCAAGACGTCCTTGTCTAAAACATGAAATAAATGGGAATGAAGAAATTTGGCAAGGAATGAAGCAAATGGACATGTAGTGATCACTCTAAACTATAGAAAAACGTGAGAAAATCTGATGATTTATTTAAATACTAAAGAGAAATGGTGTGAAATCAACAGAGGAATGGTCAGAGTAAACGGTTAGCCCTAGTTGGGATGCCAAGAACGCAGCAAGATCCCCCAGTTCCTACTGGATTCTGTCACTATAATGACCAGTTTTGAGGTCAAGATAATGATTATCCGATGATCATGATCAACATTATTTACTTCTGTAACATTGGCATGGAAAACCTGTGATGTTTACCCTGAATCCCCATCAGTGAACAACACTATCCTCTGACCTAAACATGTGATTTTATATTTATGACACTGATATGTCTTAATGGTCTCAAAGTTGCTTTCATGGTCTTCAATGTGAGTTTGAATGTGGATGGTCTGCTAATTTTTGTTGTTTTGACTTTCTGACTACATGTTCTGGTGTAGCATACCCCAATAAATGTGAGCCTGATTTGCGTTTTTCTTATTTTTGGTAAATCTGAAAAGTAGATTAAGTCTCTTGTGAAAGGGTGGTGAAAGTGAAAGGGTGGTGAAATTGTAAAGTATTTTGAAAGAACAACATGTTTCAATTTCAGTTCATTTTTTTAAATAGGCATTACCATTGAGTTTTAGTAGTGGTAGATCCTGTTATCTGTATAAGAGAAATAGTATTTCAGAAAGTGTGTTTTATTTCAATTTTAGCTGTATACCTAATCTAGTCTCTTGTATGGTTGCTTCATCTCCTGGTAGCCTAACACAAAACATTCCAGTAAAAGTATGAGGTAATGAAAACTCAGAATGAAATCCAATGTCAGCAGAATGTGTCCTTTTAAATTACAGTATTAGAAACAAAAACAATTTTGTAATTCAAGGTAACATAAGGGAAATGAAGTCATTCTTAGTACTATACTCTTCGCAGAAACCATAAATGATAGAATTTTAATGATTCATAATACTGTGGTTAAAGTTAAGTTCTTAGAAGCCTGAGTCTAAGATTCTTATAAAGAATGACTTTAGACAAGAGTTCTAAGAATTGGTAAAAGTCATTCAGATGTAAAACTAAAGAAAACTTTTTCCAAATACTTTAAGACATTTTCTTTTTCAAGAAATCCAATGTAGAGCTCAAGCATAGCCCAAATTACAAATTCTGCCTGGTCATGGTTGAATCCTATGTTGACCTTATTTAGTTGTTCCTTCAGGTCAGGCAGAAGTTTGTGGCACATTTTCTTTTCATCTTTATGTTCAGGGTTGTTGTACTCATTTGTCATGATTACTTTGGTAACTGATTGTACTTATGTAACCAATGGTAAATGCAAACTCAAGGTAAATAGTGCATAGTATAAAGGAAAACCTTATCGTCTGTATGATAGAACATGCAGTTCTTTGTTTATTTTTTGTGAATGTGAAAATTGAATGAATTTATCGAAAATGTCAACTTAAGTGATTCATAATATTGTTACAAATTATGTTGCTGTTATTTTGTTTAAAGAGTTGGGTCTAAATTAAGGTCAGTGATAAAGTATTTTTCAGTAGTTGCTGACACTTTCAGTTTTTCAAACCCTCGGCTAACAGGTAACCTTCATTCATATTGAGGTTTGGAGAAAGGTCATACCCCAGTTCATTGATTGTTCAGTTGGATTTTAAAGAGAGAACATTGATATATATGCAGAAATCATTGTTTTAACATAACCAGTATTTTATACCTAAATGTTTATTTTGAATATGAAAGAAAGCGTGCAAATAGCTCTCATCAAATTGATGTAAACCTCACTGCAAGCATACAACACCAGGCTTCTAGTTATTATTAATTATGTTACGCCAGGAAAAATTATGAGTATACCTGGGTTTTAAAACATCTGAGGCAGTTAGGGGATGAAATATGGGTCTGTTAAGGTATATTTAGGTCAGTCTAGGACATGAGTTGTAAACAACAACTTCTGTACCATCCATATATCTCTAGAGTGTTTCATCTAGAATATTTAATATTTTTGATTCTTTATATTGGAAAAATTAGCATCGTGAAAAGATTTCAAATTATATCAATATATCCAGTGATATGTTGTGTTAAATATCTGTTATATCGCTGCCATATTCCTCCCTCTCTGATCCTATATGTTACTATGAAATAAGAAGCCGTATTCCCATGTTGTGAGTAGGTCCAGTAATTCGCATTTAATGGTGACCTGATGAGAGAGGAATATTAACAGAGAATATAGTCTAGCTACAAGACCCTGATACCCCCCCCCCCACTCTACCTGACTACACACTAGTGGGA